TACTCGTGTTTTCTATTTGAATGAGGATCTCTGTAAATACTTGGGCCTGATGAAACAGAACTAGTAAATCCTGAAAATACAAATTCAACAGTGCTGGGGAAAAGGTGAAAATAAATATTACTTCCAATAAATTACAAGAAAGATTTGAAATTAATGAATATTCCCATTGGAATATTGAACCTTACAGTACATTAAGACATTAAACTGGCTGGTATGTGACATTAAATTAACTTTACATCCCACACCATCTCCTGCGGCAAATAAACAAAGCTTACCTTGCACAAGCATGTGTTTAATAAATATGTATTCACTGATGACCAGATGATGCAGGACAGTACTGTTATTTCACAGTTTTTATCTAAAGGTTTAGCTAAAATATGGGCAGTAAAAAAGCTCACTTGAGGAATAAATAAAGTAATAATGTCAGACTATCTTTTCTTTGAATGAATCACTAGTAAAAGGAATCGCATTTATAGAAGATAATAAAGAAAAGCTCTCAAGAATTCTAGTGCAATAAGCAGTCTTAAAAGGCAGGCATCAGCCAACAAAGTAGCACTCCAGATCACTTCAGTCCTGGAGTGGAATGGAAATTCTATAGTTCACACAGCTTGTTGGAAGGGCACATTGTTTTTTTAAGGTCAAAATATTCTATAAAAAATAGTTTGTACTGAGGAATTTATACTGGGGTTCATTAAGCTATGTGATACATTTTAAAATGTATATTCTTAAATTCTCTCCAAATGGTCACATGACATACTTAACATACTTAACAGCAACAGAACTGGTTTGTTATTTTTGGGGGAAGGCAGGGTGAAAATGAGTAGTTTTATTAATTCTTTTGGATCGGGAGTAAAAAAATCAGTAAAATGGGAAAAACTCTACATTACCTTTTTAAAATCTGCTCACATCTTTTTTCAAGCAAACAAATATACATCATGATAAAAAAAATTTCCAATTGTTTTGACTGATCAGTAAATATTTCCTAAGGCCATTTAGAATTTTGTTTATTTTGGGCTGGGGATTTAGCTCAGGGGCATAAGCACCTGTGTGGCAAGGTCATGAGTTCAATCCCTAGCACCAAAAAAAAAAAAAAAAAAAAAAGAATTTTGTTTATTTTAATTAATTTATATACCTTCACTTTAATGGTTAAAAAAGGAAGTCTTTATCTAGACTATAAGCATGAAAATTAACTTCCAAATAATAAACAGTAAAAGTGGTTTAAGTATATGGCTACAGCCTCTAATTTTTCTTAAAGGCAACAACTCCTATCAGTAACACTTTTTTAAGATAAGTAGCGATTCTTCAGAGTTTATGAATGGGAAACACTAGTCCCCCAATTCACCCCACTCTTACCCATCACTCGGCATACAGAAGCAATACTGGCTAACTTTTAGGGACATTCTGTAAGACAGAAAAAAATTTAAAAACTGAAGTTTTGTAGTAAAAACGTCACCAAAAAAGAAACCTAATGATACACATAACCTGGTATCTTATTTTAGCACTTTGGAACTGAAAGCTGTTGGACTTAAAAATCTTACCCTTTCCACTGTCTAATTCCAATCCCAGGGCTGGGTCAAAAGCAGTTTTAGGAGAACAAAGAGAAAACAAAGGAAGATAAGGCAAATAGGGAGGTGGGAGGAGACAAGGGAATAGTAAAGAAAATTAAATGGCAGTATCTGGAGTCCTTTATCCAAGGATTTTAACAGATATATGATAAAATTAGAAATTCTAAGCTTTTCTGGCCCACAAGGTTTTCATACATCACATATGGACATTATATACTTTTTAAACATTATATACAACAAATGATTTATATAAAAGAGGTCAATACATTTCTAAAAATTGTTTTTAAAAATACCTGATTTGGCATTTGATTAATTTTTAGCAGAAGTTAACAAAAACTTTTAAACATCAGTCACAAGTACAATGTATTTAGTTCTGCCATGAAACATTTCTTTCTGTCATTTCACACATACTTTCAGAAGGGAAAAAAACCACTCACACACTAGAAAAACCAAGTCATGTCCTCTCTGCAGTGTGCACTCAGGACACTGTACTGTGAAGGCAATCAGAAAGAGGTGCAGTGTCTCTCACCTCTGAGCAGAAATAACTGCAGATGTGATTTCAGGATTTCTGCACAGGGTGAGGAGATGAAGCAATGAGTTATAACACTAGGGCAAACAAGTGGGCTTTCTCATCGTACTGCCAACTCAAGGACAACAAGCTAACCCCTCACTGTCATATCTGTCCTAATAAACCAGGAATGGTGGCTTTGCATACCCACATGCATGTATTTCGAATTATGTACAGGTATCTTCCAGTTGTGAGGTTGAAGAATGAAGTTCAGATGATCATTGTGAGGGGAAGAATTAGAATTAATTTTGCTTAGATCAGAGAAACCCCAAATTAATAGCCCAGAATCAGCAGATCTAGTAATATAGTAAGAAAAGCAAGAGTCTAGTGTAACAAAATTACTATTTTGCAAATTGGATGAAAAAAATCATACACACACACTCTCCAAATACTTCAAAAAAAACACTGGCCAGAAATAATCTATGTTGTTCTGCATTTATTTTCTTTATGCCTCTAATGTAAGACACATGGAAGTCAGATAGAACAAACTTCAGCAACAAAGTCAATTTTTAGATTCATGAGACTCCTAAAGTACATAGATCACATTAATGTAAGATGGCTTTGGGGACAAACTGAGTAAATCAATGGAAAAAAAGTTTGTTTGTTTAGTGATTAACACTTTTATTGTTCAGTCATTGTCCCATTTGTTATTTTTAACTTGTAATATTTATTAAAGACTTTATATATATTTAATGGTCATTTTCATTTTGAGGAAAACCCAGAAGTCATCTAGTATCAAATTATTTAAGGTGGGTGAGATCACACCATAATGTTTTTATTTGACAGAAATTGCCATAAACATTTTGAATTAATTCAGGACATCCAGGCAGCCACTACAGAGCAACTAAAGATACTCATGAAAGAGGTCTTCCAGACTGCTTCCGAAAGGGGCAAGAATGATGGGTAAGTGGATTAGATGTGATGAGATTATTTTGAGGGGACTAAAGGCAGTGTGTCTTTTTCTGTAATAAGGTTTATTTAAACACTCACTGTATCTTTTGATCAGTCTTTGCATAAAATATCCTCAGTGCTAAAGTATCTATTATTATTAATCACAGTTTACTGAAAAGAAAATTGAAGGTTGTGGAATATTAACATGCATCTGAAGTGGTAGACTTGACCTCCTGACAGTCCATGACCATTTTATCATCCCTGAAGATAGGCTAGGGACAATAAACTCTACCAGTTATCTAGAAAAACTCATATTTCCTTTATGGAAAGATGGATGTCTGGAAAATGTCACGAGCTCAATGAATTATGTTCCCCCAAAATTCATATGTTGAAGCTAATCTCCCTTGTAGCTCAGAATGTGCCTTCATTGGGAGACAGTGCCTTTAAATAACTGATAGTTAAAATACCCTTAAAAAGTTGGGGTTCGATCCAATCTGATAGGTATCCTTCTAAGAAAACAAAATGATGATATGTAAAAAGATGCAATAAGCACGCACCACAGAGAAAAGACCAAGTTAGCGTGACTACATGCAACACAGAAAGATCTCAGACTGGAGTTAACTCTGCTGTGCACTTGATCTTAGAATTCTAACTTTCGGAACTGAGAAAACTATGTTGCCACGAGGCTGGGGTATTTTGTTATAGAAGTGCTAACAAGCTAATATAGGCAAAAAAAAAAAAAAAAAAAAAGAAATCATCCAACAGCTAACATACATAGACTGCAAATTTAACAGCAACTCATCTGATTTTCAAGACTAGACTGAAACATGCTATGGAACTGGCCTTTATAATTAATGAAGCAAAAAAAAGTTTCATCCCTGAAGGTTGACAGGACTGTGACAGTGTTGCCCACCCATATTTTTTCCAATACATTTTCTTCATGCTATTCTCTCTCATACACAGAAACATGGTTGTGAAGTTCCCATAACTCCACCACACATGTCCTAACAAGTAAGGTACATGATAAATGAGAAGTATTTCAAGGCATGGCCAAGGTTGTTACCTCAGATCTTGCTAGAATAACATGACATTTATAAAAAATACAACCCACTGGATGTTTGGCACTGCTTGGGAATGAAGAATATGTCCACTTAAGAGCCAGTCAAAAATTCTCCAGCCAGGATTTCTTTTATAAACATTACCTATCTTTCAAAATTCTATACTCTTAAGAGGTGAAAAAAGAAGCCTGCTTATTTCAATTCTCCTTTTACCTAAACATAACACACAAACCATTCACAAGGAAATGTAAAATTCTCAGTTGAGGGACTAGCACAGTGTACCTGGAAAACTGCCTTCACACTTACATCCTTTGCTTGGGACACCCCTACTCCAATGACACCTACACACAGCTCACACGCTACCAAGGTCAACCACCTTTAATCCCAGTGCACACTGAAAGGGGGTATTTACAGATTATTTTTCAGATACTAGACAAATAATGGTCCTGTTCACTTCCTCACCCACCACACACCACACAAAATTTAACATCTAGAAGGATAAACTCAGACCATAACACATATGACAAGGGTACACAGTCACTGAGAAGTTTTCAAGCAAGAAGGATTTGCCAACTTCTTTCTGAGGTCCAGGTCCTCAAAGGCCAACTGTGGTGTGTTTGAGTTTCCATCAGACCTGGTGCTTGCTGGCTACTGCTATGCTCCATAAGAACCCACAGCCCAAATGTCCTATAAACATCTCTTCCTTCTGTGGAAGAGATATTGTCTGCCTGACTTCTTGAAGCACAGAATATGCTGTTTGAGAGCCTCAGGCCAAATATTAGCTCACACTTGGAGCACAGCTGACTGCTCTCTTCTCCAAGTCAGTGATTGCTCTTTAAAACAAACAAACAAACAAACGAAAACCATACGCATTCACACAAACATGAGACTGGAAAGAGGAGTCCAGACTCTTCTTACCATGTGCCACCCAACCATGTTTACACTGATCGCAAGTCCTCAGGTTAATCTTCCCTGGCTGAAAACATTCACACGTACAATTTACCAGTGTGCATCGGATGGCCTGGAAAATAAAAAGAGGAAAAAATATCAGCATCTATAAAAAGGTACTATATTCCCCACTATTTTTAATGAATAATGACCACTTGTATTTTGAAAAGCTTTTTATAGCGGAGGCCTGGAGAATTTTGAAAATAAATTTTGCTATCAAAATGTCTTACAAAAACGTAAGAAAACTCATTCACTAACATAATGTTCCAAGTCATTCATGGTAACTTTTAAATTAAAATACAGGTCAAGTAGAATAAGAATAAAAAATTACATATTCCATAAGACACTAGATTTGTAACACTGAAGAAAAATTTCTGCTAATTATATTTCCATTTACTATTAATGCAAAGAAAAATACATTCTAAAGTAATATTCAAGTTAAATGTTTGGGAAAGTAAAATTACCTGGAACAGTACAACTGTATCTTAGAAAACTAAACTACACACTGAAAAAAAAACTCTCCCTTCCTTTCAAGAGCCATTCTTCAAAATACATCATTTTATGCCATAAAGTGAATCCATAGAAAATTAACATAAAGGGAGTATAACATTTTGTGAATTTAAAAAAAAAAAAAAAAAAAACTATGCTAAAGAATTGTGCTAAACATCAGGGATTTAGCTCAGCAGCATAAGTGCCAGTCTGGCAAGCACGAGGTCATGAGTTCGATCTCCGATACCAAAAAAGAAAGAATTCTGCTAAAGCTGACCTGTGCTCCTAGACTACAGTTAATAAATTTATCTCATACATTTAGCTGTAATTTGCATTGCAATTCTGAAGACAGAAGGGATTTGGTCTGATCATTCACAGATTAAACAATCTACTGTAACTACATGAACTGCCAGGAAAAGATTTCTCTACAGATTTAGATGTGATCAATGATTACTGATTTTGGAGTAGAATGTGGGTATGGATTACCTGAAAATGTGGTTCTGAGCCTGAAAGCTAGGCTCATTCATATGCTTTGATACTCACATTCCTGAAACGATTAGAATTTTTATATAAACCAACTCACTTTTAAAAAGCAGTATTTTCAATACTGTTAACATTATCGGGATAAATCCTGTTTACAGAGACTACTACTGAACAAATGGGCTTCTACTATTTCCCATGTTCTGGATCAGGCAAGAGTAAAGCGTCTTTAACAAATTAACATTAACTTGTGGAACCTTATTTTGTTTCAGTTGTTAAAGTTCTTGTTGTTTAATTCTTTCATCCATTATTCGCATTTCTAATTTTCTTTTCTGTTTACTATTATCTGTCTGATGTGTCAGGGACTTTCTCCTATATTAAACTTCCAGCTATAAAGGAACTAGAGTATAAAATTTTGCTGTCTGTTAGTAATTAAAGAATATATATGCTTTAAGAGGACATAATTGTTCTACAAGTTATTTCAATCTTAATAGCTTATTAACTAAACAATATACCAGAATGTCCCAATTTGGAAGTAGTTCGTTTATATATCAATAGCCAAAGAACTCATCAGTTTTGTGCTGGGACTACAATAGAGTTTGCAATACAGAGTATACACTAAAAGCAAGTCACTTTACAATTATAAATTCAGGCATGTGAACATTAACATTAAAACATCTAAATGAAATAATGAAAATTTACCTACGTTGTTTTATTTAAGAACTCTTTGCTTTACCAAAAATCAAGGGAAGGACAATAAAAATACATGATCTTTCAAAGACTGTATTTAACCCAGCATATACACAATTTAAATAATTAATTTGATAAAATTATTTTATAAAAATGTCCTAATTTTGTATCATGTTTAAAGCACAGCTTCAATTATAGGTATGTTAAGGACTAGAACAAGATACATACATACATTCTTTTTATATGTTTATTTGGTTTATTTTACTGTGGCTGAATCATTCATTCACTTATTCTGAATTAAGTTTATGGTTCAAATATTTCCTCTTCCTAAGTAATTTTATACATTTGTTATATTTGAAAATGAAATCTTTCAGACCATCCCTTTTATAGTGTACGCTTATTGTACCTAAACATGTAAACATTGGAACACCTCACCTCCTTTATACATAAACAATTAAGCACGGAAGCAGCCGTTTTGTATGTCTATGAATTCCAGACGGTCTATTTGTTTTAAATTCAGATTTACATAGACTACAATTGTTCCTTAAGGGAATTACATGTATTTAAACAATATGGTCTAAATATTTTGAGTAAGAGCCTATTGTGGCTTTAATAGAAGCTTTTACTCTAAATGATATTTTTGAAATGGCATAAAACCTTGATACACTATTTATTTACAACAAAACAGAATCAATATGATCACTTGCCAATTCACCCACACTTAAAAAACAAATTATCATAAAACTGTCAAAGTCAGGTCAGCCTCAAAAATGTACATATATTACAAGGGTTCAGGAAGAGTAGAAAGGGATGAGTTTCCATTCTTGAGAACTCATTGTTTCCTTCCTTCAGATGCTGGAATGCCTCCAATCTCCGGCAAGGCACTCCAAACAAGACCAAGTTGTGTATACTACATTATCTGAACAGTTCAGTCAGATTGCTGCCACTTCTTTAATGCAGAGAGGTGTTTTTAGGTCTGACTCTAGGAGTTCACATCGCCAAGGGTACACTGTGACTCTTCTCAATTCTAACATGATCACCAACATCTAAAGAATATTAATTTTTTTAGCCCACAATATATTGAAAATAATTTTTACTTCTGTTTACCACTACCATGGATTTCTTTAAAGATAAATCCAGGTTCTCACCAATCCGTATTTCTATTTGCACACTAGAACCTACATTTTAATTGTTAGCTGGATTCCACTGCAAACATCTCTGAGAAGCAATGTTTTCATCACATCTGGCCGGGTTTCCTAGTCTCTTTGTCCCCCTAGATACTGATTCAGCCTGCGACACTAACTCTCCTTGATTCCTGGGTGGTAGAGACTGACTGTCCTACTCTTTCTGTCAGCAACTTCTCACTCCTCTCACTGTAAATAAATACAGGTGTTTCCAACAGCAGGACTCGTCATTCTTTAATTCAGCAATTTCATCCTCTCCTATAGCTTCAAATATCATCTCTATGCAAAAGCCCTCACTTTGGAGCCCGGCACAGTGTTAAGCGGTAGGAAATGAATGGCTGTGTCTCCTGGGCAAGGCCTGTCAGTTTGTTGTGAGTAGTGAATGAGCCTGAAAGAGACCCAATGAGCAAGAAGGAAGCCCTTGAACAGGACTGAGAAGCACTATCCCTCTTTCCTCTCTATTTTTCCTTCCTTTCTTTTTGACCAATGCAATGATTTGATGTTATCAATATCAACTACATTTATTATTAATATCAACTACATTTCTTTATTAAATATTTGTCATTTTGCAGACACTGGCTAGGTAGTTTACAAACATTAGCTGCCTGTGTCCTCAGAAAATACTGAAAGATAATAAAACTATTATTCCTTTTAATTCACAAGTGAGGAAACCAAGAAAAAGATAAACAGTTAGGGAAAGTCACAGATGCAGATACTGGTATGTGTGAGCATTCCATCCCATCAATTTAGGAATCTTGAGTTATCCCACTTACAGAGAAGCATTTGTGGGGCAAAATTTTCACTGATCTACCTTACTCCAAAAGTGACCTATTCTTGTTTTTGTTTTTTCCCTCTTCTTCCACCTGTACTGCTACTAGTAGTGTTTCTAGGCAATCCTCACTTTTGGCGGGGGACACCAGGAATTGAACTCAGGACCTCACACTTGCCAGGGAGGCACTGTGTCGCTGAGCTAAATCCCTAGCCCCTAGTCTTACAAATCTACTCCCATCCCCAGACGTAGACCTTTTTATTGCCTGCTTCTCCAGTGTAATTCTGTCTAGCTGGTCACCCTCCAGCTATCACTCTGTATTGTTAACTTCTGCTCACTCTTCGTATTTCAGCTTAGTAAGACCACTCATTTCCAGGCTGGTTACCCTACTCTCCCATTCAAGGAAAGTTGTTCAGCAATCTCCTGTATCATAAACAATTGGTCGCAGCACTTATCAGGGCTTGTAAATATTATATTTGTCTATGTGATTTGTAACTATATCTGCCTCTAAAATTTAAAAACCAGGACAAGACAATAAGTGTTGTACTTACAATGTGTACTGGCAAATAAGAGGTGCTCAACAGGCACTTACAGAGATACAGCACATGTTTCCCGAAGCCCCGTTTCTCAATGGTACAACAGTAATAATACTACAGCTACATCAAAAGACCTAATGAAATAATGAATATAAAGTACTACTAACCAGCTTGGAAACAAAAGCTCAATAAATGACAACCATTTATGGTTTCAGAAAACTTTCCACATACTATATTTGAATGATGTTATTTTCTCTGATGATTTCTTCCCAAATTAAGCTTTACACTAATATATAGTAAAATACTTAACACTTTTAGTCTTAATGGATAAATGAACATTTTGACATATATAATACCATTATTCATATTATAATACCCAAAGTGAACACAAAGTTTATTATTAGTGTTTTAAGCCTCTTAAATATTAAAGTGGGCAGGAAGATAAATCCCCCGATTATTACTCCTTTTTCTATTATCTATGGAAAAATAAAACACACAATTAATTGATCAATTTAAATTATAGCAACACATACTAACAAGTACATCTACACTTGGTGTGGGGGTACCCAGCTCTTGTCCAAGTTCCTCAGGAGACTAAAAGTAGGGGATCAGCAGAGCTCAGGAGTTTAAGGCTAGCCTCAGCCACACAGTGAGACTGCATTTCAAAAAAGGTACATTTGAAATGCACAAAGCAGGATAGCTTAATTTATAAAAATTAAAGTTCAGTCAGTAATACATTTATGTATGCATATTAAATAAAAGCACATTCAGAACTAGTTTGGACAAGTTCCAAAGTTCTATTCAAATAATGAACCCAAAAACTGAACTCTCTTAAACTTTAGTACACTCATAACTAGCTTAAAATCTCTAAGAATATGAGAATTGAACATCAGTCTTCTTATAAAATGACATTTCTCAGGAAAGC